AAACGAAATCAGAGTTCCACACACATTCAAGTGTGCATCTGTCATTGTATTAGGTTACAGTAGATACAGGAAATCTTTAGTTAGGATTAAGTTGTACTGTTCAGCCATATGTTCTCCTCCAGCAGAACAGTGTATAATATACCTAATAAAATGACATTGAAGAAAACCAGATTTTGGCCTTTGTCCAAATAAGAAACAACACGCTTTGCCTTCTGTAAATGTCCTCTCTTTAGCTTGGAAGAGGGAACATTCCTCACGTAGAATGCAGCATCTCTCCTCAAAGACTACATGCTTTCTTTTGTGTATCAAGTGGAATTTTATTGGAGGTCTGTTGGGTCTAATTTCAAAGGTCAACTCAAATCTAACTAGATTGCAGTTTACCTAAATCCACCCTGAAACTGAGTGTGCAGAGTCATTTTCATAACTGACCGTGGCCCTTATAATCAGGCCTTCTCAGGTCAGACCTACAGCAGCAGGAGCTGGAACTAGCATAGCAGCCTGTCCAGGGTGCTTCAAACTGACTCAGGTGTTTCTGCCATTCACTAACCTGGTACATGGCCACTCCATCCTCTGAAGCTGCCCCAAGAAGCCCAGGGTTGCTCATGCCACAGTGAGACCTCAGTCCCCCTCAGTACCGGGGCAGGCATGCGGTAATACAGACCCATTGGGCAGGCATAGGGCAGCTCTCCCTTCTCTCCTCTATTGCCACCTCCCATCTGGCTCTACAGCAGAGTAGATGGGGACATGGGCCTGGGGACAGTGCAGGGTGGGCTTATCAATTAATCTTATCAACTACACGCCCCCCCCCCCCCCCTTTTGCTGCCTCTGTATCAGAGGCATCAAGTGGCAGGGGGAGACAAAGCTGGTACCCGTGAGGAACTGGCTTTAAGCAGGCTCCCCACAAGCACTGGATCCGCCTGCCCCTCCCTCACCCCTGCACTGCTGCCTCTGATAGAGAGGCAGCAGTGCAGAGCGTGAAGGGGGCAGGATGGAGCCAATATGGGTGGGAAGCCGGCTTTCAACTAAACTCCCTACATAAGCCAGCTCCGCGGACCTGACTGCCCCTCCCCTCTTGCTGCCTCCTACAGAGGCAGTGATGGGGGGCAGACAGGAGCCATTGCTGTGGGGAGCTAGCTTAAAAGCTGGTTCCCATCAGCTCCACAGAGGCAGCAGTTGGAAGGGGAGATTGGAGGCAGGGGAAGTGCCGTGAAGCAGCCTCTTTCTGCAGTGACACAGGCTCACATCAGACAGAGGCTGGTCCACAGCAGCAGCCCATGTCCGCAGGGGGGTCTGAGCTCGCCGGGGACCAGCCTTTGTCCACTGGGAGCTTGGACCCTCTGCCCCCAGCCAGAGATGCTGCCACAGACCGGCCTCTGTTTGTGGGGAACGTAGACCCCCACGGACAAGGGCTGCTGCCTCTCTACCAGAGGCAGTAGTGGGGGGCAGCAGGCAGCCAGTCTGCATGGGGAGCTGGTTTTTAAACTGGCTCCCCTGGCACACTGGCTTCCACCTGCCACCCCGCGCTGCTGCCTCAGATACAGAGGCAGCGTTGTGGGGTCGCAGGGAGCTCCCCGAGAGTGGGGCCAGGAGCGCACTGGCTGCCGCCCCCACCCATAGTTACATGACTGTTCAGTTACACGGTATCTAACATCCTTGGGGGTGCCTGTCTGCTTCTGTGGCCCATGAAAGCCTTGAAGTTGGGCAGGAGTAGTGAGGTAAAGGGCAGGCAGCACCTAGTGTGGGAGTTCCAGGGGGCCATGTTGTGCCTGTTTGCTCACATCTGAACCCCACACTATGTGTGCGTGTATTAAGGAAGGAAACAACTTATGCAAACACAGCATCCCTCTCCTGGTAGCAGCTGCTCCACCATTGGCCCATTCAGGCAAAGGACTGTTTACTGCTACCCTGCCGTGTTGTCCCTATGACTGCTTGTGACCCTGTGCCTGCCCCCAGTCTGCTCAGACCTAATTTTAAAGCCTGACCTGAACCTACTGTAACCATGTCAACTCATTTTATCCCCAACCTGGCCTCACCCTAACACCTATAGTTAGGTCTCATCAGGTTTGGGTCAGGTTGCAAGGCTTTGTATTTTATGCTCACTTTCTGTGAAGGTCTGCATAAACTTTTCTCAAGACTGCTTACAAGCAAAGATTGTATAACAAATAAAAAAGGTTTTATTCACACATAGGGCCTCTTTCTGCAAATCCTTATTTATATAGGTAGTTCTTCTGTGGGAGTAATGGTTATTCATGTGAGGAAAGGTTTGCGGGATTTGGGCTAGGGATGTGAAAGACTAGTTAACTAGTTGATAAGCAAAAGCTTATCGGATAGTCAATATTCTAGTCAACTATTCACTTTCTATCCTCCTTGCTGCCTCTATCAGAAAGAAGCAGCGGGGGCAGAGGAGAAGAAGCTTCAGAGCGGCAGCGCTGCATGGAGTCATGGTCAGCTGTGGACTCCCCGTTGATCCTGGGTTCCATGAGGCACCGCTTTGAAACGCCTTGTGGGGTTGGGGACTTCCCTGCTCTATGCAGCACTGCCACAAGGAGCTGGGGGCCATCTGGGGACTCCAGCTGACCCCAGCTCCACACAACGCTGCTGCTTTGAAACACCGCAGAGAGCCGGGGCCCATCTGGGGAGTCCAGCTGACCCCAGCTCCACACAGTGCTGCTGCTTTGAAACACCGCGGTGAGCAAGGGGGACTCAATCAGTCCCCTGCTGGCCCAGTGCTCCCCGTATAAGGGCTTTCGCCTTTGAAGTATAGCAAAAGCCCTTATAGACTAATTGAATAGTCGATGCAAATTGCATAGACTATTCGATTAGCCTATTAATCTAAATTTAACATCCCTAATTTGGGTCTTAATTTCTATCCTAGGTAGGCATAGGAGAAGTTTGACTTTCCTTTAAATCTGCCTAGTCAATTTGTTTCAGGAGATACTAGAATTATCAGCCTGAGTTGTGACTTTTTATAAATAACTGTGGGCCAGATTTTGATCTATTCACTGTAGATTTGCACCAGAGCAGTTGAGGTCAGAATTCATTCCTGTGTTGGTACTTTCAGTAATGAACAGTCAGATGTTCCTTGAACATTGTGAAAATTGCTGATTGCCTAAAAAATTGTACACACAGTTAGTCTGTGCTAAAGCATCCTAATTGTATGTTTTACTTCACCGTACTTCCCTACTTCTTTCTGCCTCACTGTTTGTCTCATGTATATGTTATGTCTTCTCTTTGAGATGACTGTAATCTCTTTGGGGCAGGGATAGTCATTTTCTGTGTGCTTGTATAGGACCTAGTACAGTGAGGCTATACCTAGTTGAGGCCCTGAGTGCTACTCTAATAATAATAATGGGTGACAAATCATGCTTAATCTTGTTTTGGAGGGATGAATATTTTGAATATAAAAACAAAAAGCTAGAAATGCAAAGTGCAGACACTATTTTTTATTTCGATTGCTTTTTAATCACATCCCCAAGCTATAAAAGTGACTGGTGCAGAAGGAAAAAAAGCAAAATTTGTAATTTCTCACTTAAAGGGTAGACAAGGCATTCCAAGGGCATACCTAGGTGAAGAGTGCTTATATGACTGCACACATGTTGACTTACAATGGTTAAAGAGCTCTAAATGTTTTCCTTATAGATGCATGATGTGTCATTGGTTTAATGAACAGCTTCTTTAATTCTTCGTCTCTGTGTTTCTTCACTAATTTAACCTCCAGATGGCACTATTAAGCAGAAGAGAAATAACTGTGAAATGAGTCCAATGTAAAGTAAAATTGGAAATTGAATTATAGCTGCCAAAAAAGGACAGTAGCCTTGAGGTTCTGATCAACCTGTACTCTTATCACTTTTGTTTGTTGTTCCTATGTGTTAGGTTACCAGCAAGTTAATAATAGTGCTTCAGCAGTTCAAGGCTTAGTAGAATTGCACTGGACATGAAATAAAGCTAAAATGAATTTGTGTCCGATATCATTGACATTAGTGCTCATTACTTCTGTGGTGTAAAGCCTCAAACCGTCTAAAATCAATTTTAAAGATTACCCATTATTTTATAAAGAAAATAAAATACATTTCAAACAGCAACAAAGCTGTAAGTATAGTGTAATCTCATGAACAGTTAGTTACTTGTGCTTTAGCTTGGGTGGCAGAAAGCTACAACACAGAAAAATCCTGAGGGAAACTAAAGTAGGCACGTGGAATTTAATGGGCTGGCTTTTTATTATATTACTCTGAATTGGAAATGCACACGTTAATGCGAAAATGTGAATCTCCTCATTACCTGTTTTTAAATCTGGAAAGTAAACTCTAGTAAGATTTATTTTAAGGTAACAAACAAAAGGATCGAGTTTATTCCTCCAAAATGTACACTACAAATCTGTATTTTTTGTGTAGAATGATTAAGGTTTTTTTCTTTTTTGTTTCACGATGCCTGTGTCATTTCTTGTTTGGGATTTCACATTGACCAAGAGTTGCCAATGAATGATGGCTTTTCAAACTGTATTCATGAAGCTATTGCTACTGAGGAGGGAAGTGTGTGGATTAGTAAATTCTGGGGCTTGATTCATTTTTGTACTCTATTAGGTGGTTTCTTCTAGATTGAGGGTTGGTTTTTTTAAATGTACTGTGCATTCATACTTTGAAGGCATGGATATTAAGATACTACATTTGATATCTATTTTAAAGAAAATTATTGGTAGGTTTATCAGTAAAATCAGGGTTTTATTAATGTTTAAAATGTGCTTATCTTGAACAATATGCAGCATCTGCTCTCTTTCATATAATTTCACATGGAATGTGGTAGATCATTATAGGCCACTGCAAATATTTTTCATCATGGCACACTTATCAATTTCAGATGTGTGTGTACAGTCACATACAATATCCCCAAAATTAGTTATATCTGGATCTTGTCTTAGTTTTCTTTGTTTTAACCCAAAAACCAAAATTAAGTATATTACATTATTTAAATATTACCTCTATGTTGGTCACAATGGAGAACAGTTTTCAGAGTTCATTTATATATTTAAAATATTATAGTCCAAATTTGTGATTAGTCTTGGAAGAACCAGTCTGTTGTAGACTTCATGGATTTATAATACAATTGACTTTTATTCATTTATTTTGTTTTCACCAGTTTGTATGTTATTGCCTTGTATCCAATTATATTCAGATGATATTGCTAAATAAAATCGTTGCAAAAGATATTGATAACTAAAAACTAACCTATATAAGTTGAAAGTAGGCTAAGATTACTTCTGAACAGTTCTGGCTTGCTTAAATATTTGCAAGCAGTATTAGTTGTTACTCTCATAGGCCTTTATTTTGCAAATGCTGAATATTCCCACAGAGTTCAAAAAGACTACCCCCATGAGTAAAGTTGCACATGCACACCAACATTTTGTAGGAAAGGTCTCATTGTTTGGTGCTAATCATTTTAGAATTGACATAGTGTGCAGTTCATTCTTTATACAAATATTGCAAGAGTGTTGCATTTTTCTGAGTAGCAATACTAATCAGATTTCAGTTGTTTGTGGAATTAACTTCTAATTTTCAGATTTTGTAAAATGCATTGTATTTGGATTACACAGTTCATGTGATTAAACAGGTTATGCCAAATACACTTGAAGGCTTATTTTCAGAAATATAAACTGTAGTTAAAGATAGACTTTTTTCTAAAAGTAGTTACAGTGAAAAGTATTTTCAGAATTTACTGAATTTTACAAGCAGATTTTAAATTAGTGTACATCAATGGCATTTTATTACCCCTTATATAAACATATATAAAAGTGTAAATATGTACCCTTAGTTTTTATTGATGCACACACATTCTGTTTCTCAGGTATTTCAAAGTCCTGACTTTTCATGCTTCTAAATTCCATTTTCTTCCACTCCCCGAAAAGAAATGAGGCAATAGAAATTATAAAATAGTTTAGTATTTTTTTTTAAATATAGACCGTGCTTGAATGTAGACCAAATTTCCATAAGTGCATGTGCTTTTGCCCCCGTTACAATCATTAATCGAATCGCATGGTAATAACAGATGGTTAAATGGAAGAAACACCCTTGAAGTTATTCTTATAACAGATGTTCTTAACTATTAGCTTCATGTTTTTACTCACCTAAAATTCTAGATAATGTAATAAAAAGGTAACACATACCTAATCATTTTATTATGTGCAGTGCATTCTGAGGCTAATTTGAGATTAATTTAAAAGCAGGACAGCATTGAGAATTGTTCTAGTAATTCTATGCCTTTCTCTATTTTAAAGGATCCTACAAAATGCATTATTGCTTTCGGACAGTAGACTTCACCTCTTCTTACAGACTCAGCTAAGTCCAGAAGATATCGAGGCGTGTGTATCTGGACAGACAAAATATTCTGTTGCTGATGCGATTCATAAGTTTGCCTCCTTGAAACGACGTTTTCCTATTGAAGATAAAGAGAGAAAAAGAGGGGAAAATGATGCAGAGTCTGATTCAGAGAGGTTACTTTCTTACTTCCCTACTTTCTGATATTCATACATATATATATACATACACAGACTTCACTTTTTTGTTGATGTAATACTAAGATAATGAAAAAATTAATTGACTGAGATTTTATTGAGCTGTGACAGCTCATCATAGAAGTCTTCACACACACCTCCACACTGAATTAATGAATGCAGTAGAAATTCAATTATCTGCATTCTGATTATGTGAATTTCATTTAGTCAGACTTGAATTATTCGCGTTTAAATTATCTTGCTAAAAAAAATATCCAACTGCACTCCAAATGGCTAATTAAAAGTCCAAATTTCCTGTCTCTCTTTGTGACTGGAGATAATTAAAGTTCTCCTCTGTTACTCAGGCTTTGAGTGTGTTGTGAAAACCAATTTCCTTTCTTTATTTTTTTTTTCTCTCCTTCTCTGTAGTTCATCCTCTGGGCTTGGACACAGTTGTGATGACAGCATTTCACATGGATGTAAAGCAAGCACAGTCCCTGAAGAATCCTGAAAAATCATTTGTATATTGCCGTCTTAGGAACTGCAAAATAATGTCCCCTCTCAATTTACCACAGCTTTGAAACAGTTTTTCTGTTTGTTGCTTTTTTAAACTGCACTGATTTATTTTTACATGTTGCCTATTACATTTAGGGTTATGCAGCCATTCAAATCTTGATAAAAATTGGGCTAGTGGTGCTCTTTTGCCAAGTATGGCTGATGAAATATTTCCCTTGGTGATGATGTAATTTAGATCTTAAAAAATGAAGGTATTTTACATTAGTTTAAAAGTTGTGTATCAAATGAAAATACACTTAAAGCAACTTTGTGTACTTTGTACTGGAGAAGTTTGACTCTAAACAGTTGTGTGACATTGATAATGAAGTCATATAGACCACAGGGTATTAACTTTTAAAAATAGCGAGGTGACTTAAGAAAAACAAAATCTGTACTATTTGTTGCTTACAATGGGAGATATAGACTATCTTCCCACAGTCTTTCTTCAGTGTTTATGGAAAACTTGCTCTTATCATTCCCAAGAGCCAGAGGACAACATTTTCAAACATAAGTGCCTAAAAGTTAGGCGCACAAATAAATGACATGTTTTCCAGGGGTGCTGAAAACCGTCAGCTCTCATGGAAAGTAGTGGGAGTTAATGGTTGCTCCCTCCCTGTGAAAATCATGCATAAAATCCAGCCCCACTGAACTCAATGGGAGTTTTGCACTGACATTGATGGAGCCATCATTTCACACTAAGTACTGTATCTAACTTCAGAGACCCATGTTTGAAAATGTTAGCTAGTGTTCTAAATTAACATTTAAAATGAAGTGAAGCTATTTTTCCAAAAGGATGATCATTACATAGATATCATACATTGTTCGAATATGGAATTCTAAGCTGTAGGCTACAAACTAGAATTTTAGAGGTTTTAATTTCACTTTTACTGTAGTCAGTACATAGAAGTATTGGCATTTTTTTTTCCTTTTGGCAAATGGCAGGCTTAAACACAACTTTTTAACCACAAACACATTTGTTATAATCTACTTTGCTCTTTATAGCAACAACTATGAGTTGTCTTGTCTCAGAGCCTGTCAATAGAAATTGTTTCAATGTTTATTTATATTATATGTTTAACTCCTATTAAAGAAAAAGCAGTAGGTCAAATCCTGTTCACATTGAAAGAATAGCAAAACTCCCATAGATTTCAGTGCTGCAATTTCAGGTTCAGTATGGATTGTCTCTTATATAGACACTATGGCTAGTATCTTTTAGCCTGTGAATTACAAAAACAATACATTATAATTAGTCCAGCTAATAAGTTAGTTTGGATGTGTTTTTAAAGCATCCAACTAGGAATCTGTGAAGTTTTAGAAAGGTGTGTCTTAACAGCTTAAGACTAACGTACCATCTCTTAAGTAACTACTCTGAACCAATTTTCTCTTTTCTCTTATGCACTTTCATAAGTATCTGCTTCTTTTGCTCAGTTTTTTTGAATTGCACAAATGTATTTCTTCACCATCTCTGCTTCTATGTAGAATGGACAACAGAATATTTTCATATAACATTAATCATTTTCAATAACAATCAAAGCAACAAGTTGTTATGGCAAACTAATTTGAAGGTAGTTACTATTATAAAGTAAAGACTTTTCTTTGGAAGATGTTGCCTCATTGCTAAACTTATTTTTTAGCAAAACTGCCCATAACTTCTGTGGAAAAAATCTTGAAATGACCAAAAACTGCAACTGGAATAATTTTTAGAGAAGGACATTACTGTTTACCATATTGTTGGATTTTTGAAGATGTTTGTTTTGTTTTGCTGTTTCATGTTGATCATTGTAGATCATTGAATGCACTTTATATTTTGTGGCCTGCTAACACACATCCTGATTGTCTAAAAGTAAAGCAAATGTAAGAGTTGAAGAACCATTGTAACTACTTTCAGTAATTTAGTTATTCAGGGATCTTGTCTTTTTTGTATTAAGCAAGATTTGCAAAGTAAACTGTTGCAGGGATAAATACTTGCAATTCAGAATAATTGTATTGTCATTAGCTTTATCACACTCTTCACAGTTACATCTGTACTATTCTGCATGGAAATTTATTTAAAATGTTACTCTTTTGAGTTCCCTATATACCTAGCACTCGTGGAAATATTTGTGTTAAATGATAATGAAGAATATTCTGTTTTAGAGTTTATGGACCAAGAAAACAGCTGTAAATGTTTTAGGATATATTTCTTATTTTGTGAAATTTAAATATAAAACTCCTTAAACATTTTGGTTAGTCTTTGCTGTGTTTTTAGCACTACGTGAATATTATTTTGATTTCTACAAGAAACTCTTCATTTGGTGCTTTTGATTCATGTTTTTGTTGTTTTTTTGACAATAAGTGACATTTGTCTGGTTTCTCAAGCCATCAGGATTTCTAATGCCTCACTCTCTCAGCATCAAAAATTTTATATTGCTTGAATTGCTCCTCCTTTGCTGCTTTGTTTTACTTAAAATTCTTACCTTTCTTTATTTTATAAGACAGTTTAGTAGGAACAGAACATTCTTAAACGAGTTATTTTTGTCTTATGTTTTAACTTGTAAATAAGATTTATTTAATTTTAAAATCCATTTACATTTATTTTTTCATTACTTTTAGTATTCTACACACTTTACAGTTTCTCAAATATTTTGTGTGCGCTATATATTGTAAACAAATATCCTCAGTCCCTTATATTTTTTAATTGTAACACATTTAATTAACTTCAGGATATTCTAAATCAGTATTCCAACAACCTGTTACTTATTATGCATCTGAAACATTTCTATAAACAAAGTAACAAAAATCTTCTCTTAAAAAAATTAATTCAGTAATAGACATCACAGCTTTTATATACATTAAGTTTTATTTTCCCCAGCACACATTTCTAAATTCTAAGCCTATCTTTTCCTAAGTCTACATTTTTGCTTCTTGAAATATTTTTGTGATTTGTTGAAGATACTTTTTAATATAGTTCCAAAAAACCTATCCAATTATATTTGTGTAAAATACAGGAAGCATATACAGTAAGAAACCTTTTCAAAGAATGGTAAAATAAAACCCTTACATTTCTAAGTAGTTATAACAATGGTAGGATCAATAACGATGATCAATGTTTACCACAAAAGATTTGTTTTTTAAAATTACTTTTAAAATCCTACATCTTTTTAAACACAAAAATGGAATTCAGTACTTTCAGTGTCAAGACTGATTCTTCTCATGAAAGGCCTTAAGAAAATACTTCAAGAAAAGTAGACTTATCTTAACCTGCTAAGGAATATTTTTTTTAATTTTAAGTTGCTTTTTTGCCTATCTGAATAAACTATATTTAGAAGATGAATGAATAATCTTTTATAAAAGGACCCTAAGTCAAAGTATTTGGGAACATTTAGAGTTCTTGAACTGACACACATCCATTACATATATGTACATATTTTTAAGAATTCCTATCCTATTAACTTTCCAGAAGCTATTGTACAATAAAATAGCAAAACTGCAAACCATATAATTTGTATTGTGTGGTTTGCAGTTTTGCTATTTTATTGTGTGATTTGTGGAAAGTTAAATAATACCTTATTGATACCTTTACAATTTAAGTTTGCAATTACAATATAGATTTAACCCCATCATCTGCAGTTTGGCATCAAATACAAAACAGTTTCTGGACCATGAGGAAACCACTGCATGTATTAAGGCACAGATGAACACATTTACTGGAGATCATATTGAAAAACCTGCAACTAAGAAACTTTACCAACCCAAATATTTTATCCAGAACCTTGCTATCTCTTTGTAGTTTTATCTTAGTAACCAGTTCCCCTTGCCTATACAAGGCTCCATTTCAACCCTTTCCCTAACTGATATTGTAGCTAAAACTTTTTCTAATTGTTAGGAACGCAGTTCTACCAGTTTTGACATTTGCCACCAATTGATCTAGCAGCGCAAACACTTCCAGTGTTTCTTTCCTCTCATTGCCTGTGCTCTCTCCCAAGGCCACAGTGAAGCTTTCAAATTACCTTTTCCTGCCATGAATTTCTAACTTTATAAATCCCCCTCACTAGCCATCTGGCTCCCTGCTAAGAGGCGAAAAGTTACTCCAACAAGTGCCTAGTC